ACTGTCCAAGAGCTAATAGACAGTCTAAAGGCAGGAAATAGGCCCATTTTTTACTAACAGTATAGTAACAGTATATGTCTGAAGACAATTAGCTTTTTACAATATATACAATTGAGTAATTACACTATATACAAATCTTTCAACTGATAGTCATCCAACTTATACCGCCTTCTCAGGTTTAGGAATAAATTATCATATCCCTATCAGTTAAATGATTTAGAGTGAGTATTTAACGCCTGCTCTTTTAAGGCAATGGTTGATAAATTGAAAGGGTATTAGATTATTTTTGAGAATTTTGATAAGGAGCAAAATTTCGCGTTGTAAATCTATTGTATCTGTGCATATATTTTAATTCGTTGTATTTGATTAATTATAGTATTGTTAATTACTTTTTTGGATATGTTGGAGTTCCAATTTATTAATTTGTTAGTATTGAAATTGAAGTTTCTTGTTTTGTCAAAAAGTAAAATTTTTTTGTAGTTAATGATTTGAAGATTATATATATATTTCTTCTAGATATTTTTCACTCATACGAATTTGTAACAGTAATAAAATATTCCCAGGTGTGTTTTTCAAAATTCGATGCATTCAAAAATTTTTTTTTATTTATATCTGGATTTTCCTTTCAAATTCTTATTCAGAGGTCAAAGTAAGACTTCATTCTTAATACAGCCCAACAATCGAAAAAATAGTCTCCCAAATGAAGGTTTTCCTTTCGGAATTTGTAAAACAATAGCCTTATTTTCTCGCATTTTCTTTTTTAAAGCAATATATTTTTCTACTAACATGCACCTGCTAATAATGATGAATCTTTAAATCAAAAGATTTCATCCTTTATTGTTAGCAACCAATGATTTTAGTTAATGATTAGATCGGATTTCGAAGCCAAATAGAAATGTAAATGAACCGAATTTAATCTTTCTCCAGTTAAATAGAATTAGTTCTTCTACATTCAGTGGCAGTGATTTTCTTCCTTTATTGCTTTTCTGCATCGAACCGATTAAAAGTATAAAATATATATATATATATATATATTATATAGTAAAAAGTAGAAAAATGTATTAAAAATCGAGTACAAAAATAGCGCTAATAGCTGCTGATTTTTTAAAATTGATTTTAATAAGAAATGAGGTATGAAACCTAGCAAAGGCCGTAAAAACATTTGTGCGTCCTATTAAATTTCCAGAACACTATGTAAAATAGTAACATATCAAATTAAAAAAATTGCGATTATTCCTATCTAATCTACATAAAAATGAAAAACGGGCATACAGAAAAACAAAGTCTTTCCTGTTCCCCCACCAAAGCTTCAACCAGAACTTATCAAGGGAAAAGTTCTGGTTGAAGCTTTGAACAGGAAAGACTTTGTTTTTCTGTATGCCCGTTTTTCATTTTTATGTAGATTAGATAGGAATAATCGCAATTTTTTTAATTTGATATGTTACTATTTTACATAGTGTTTCTGGAAATTTAATAGGACGCACAAATGTTTTTACGGCCTTTGCTAGGTTTCATACCTCATTTCTTATTAAAATCAATTTTAAAAAATCAGCAGCTATTAGCGCTATTTTTGTACTCGATTTTTAATACATTTTTCTACTTTTTACTATATAATATATCTATATATATATATATTTTATACTTTTTAATCGGTTCGATGCAGAAAAGCAATAAAGGAAGAAAATCACTGCCACTGAATGTAGAAGAACTAATTCTATTTAACTGGAGAAAGATTAAATTCGGTTCATTTACATTTCTATTTGGCTTCGAAATCCGATCTAATCATTAACTAAAATCATTGGTTGCTAACAATAAAGGATGAAATCTTTTGATTTAAAGATTCATCATTATTAGCAGGTGCATGTTAGTAGAAAAATATATTGCTTTAAAAAAGAAAATGCGAGAAAATATGGCTATTGTTTTACAAATTCCGAAAGGAAAACCTTCCTTTCGGAATTTGTAAAACACTGTAAAACACTGCACTTGTAAAAGTGCTTGAAGCCCTCAACCAAGTTGTAGCTATCATAATATTCTTGATCATTTTTAAATAAAAATAATACCTGAATTGTATCAAGATATTAAGAGAATTTCACGTAATGAGAAAAGTGAAAGCATTGAAATAACTTATATAAATATGATTCCATTAATTTCGCTTAAATTTCTCTTTGATACATTTTTGACTTAACTTTGTTAGCACATCGCCATTTTTGTTTTAATTTCATGTTATCAAGAAATATATGATTGTTAATAACAAATTATTTTTTTAATTTTAGTGCAGTTAAAGGAAATTTTTTAATTTAAAAAGATTTTTTCAGCATTTCAAGGTAAAATATATTTTTAGCTGATCATGTGTTTCTCTTGAAAATAGGATTCTGAGTAGACCAAATAATCTGAGTCAGCAAATATGTATTTAATTACTCAAACTTGATTCTCGAATGTGGTCCAATGAGTGTAAGCTCATATTTTCTGTAATTCGAGAAGTTTTAAAAAAATTACGATTCCTTCTTAATCATTCAGTAGATTTGGCAATTAAATTCAACAAATTAGGCAACAAAAATTAGAATATTTTTCAGATAACCAAAGAAGGATTATTAAATGAACGATGCTTGACACAAATGAATACCAAAATGAAAATCTTGTATTTTATATCTTGCATTTTCTTCGAAATGTTAATAGATCTCCAGTAAAACGGCTTGCAAATTTTTTAGCAAACTAATAATAATTTATAACTAATAATAATTAATAATAATTAATATATTAATGTATTAATCAAAATTAATAATTAAATTAACAAATTTAATATTAGGTCTTTTCGAAGGAACCTTTAACAGGCGAGTTTCTTTTTTTTTGGGGGGGGGGTAAGGAGGGGGTTACAGAGACTTTAAATATTATAAGTCATAACATTTTTTGCTTTAACTCTGATTTCAAATTCGATCACAAAGCTTTCCTATTTGGGTACAGGTTTTGAGTACTTTGTGAAAAATGCTACTACTTTACATGTATAACCCATAACAATTAATAACAATCTTCCCTTAGAATAATAAAAGGTGATTTCTTTTCTGACGTTACTCTATAAGGTATTTCTCCCGCCTTTCTAGCGTGCCTTCGTAGTGTAGTGATTTTGCACGCTGGGCCGGTATTCCAGAGGCCGGTGGTTCGATTCCCGGCGAAGGCGATTGCTCATTTTTCATCTTGCCTGCTTCCGAAATAAACCTAATGACTGTACAACTCTACCTCTGATACATTTCATTTTAGAATTCAACAACAGACCAATATTTATAACGAGTTTCCATCGTATATGCACCTATATTAAAGAAATTCTCCATGTTCTGCTTCACTTCTCTAAAGTCTCTGAAAAATCTAAGCTTGGAGTCTATAAACTTTAAACGATATTTAAATTTTAATCTTCCCTTAATGCTTTACAATCTCATAAAAGCTCATTATGGTAAACTTAAAATGTTAATCATCACATTTTAGAAGGACCCCATCAGATTCAGTTTTATTAAGTGTTTGATGGCCAACAAAAGGTGCCCTTCTTTATTTTGGTTTCACTGATTTGGAGAATATTTTTTATGAAAACGGAAAATCTCCTTTTCTGTTTATAGCCTTGACGATTAAAGACAAAAAAGTTCATCAGTATATCGAAACTGTACTTTTAATGCATGATGTTTACATCTGACTCTCTCAGTGTCTGTGTGTGTCTTACTTTGGAGCCGGAATGTTTTAATATAACGTGTTTCTTTTATTTATTACGTGCTTCGCTTTTTGGCACTACACGGAAAGGAAGCGATGCGCTTGGAGGACTTTTTAAGAAAAATTGGCTCCTATCCATGTTACACATAGGGAAAACCACGAAAACAACCATGAAGCAAGCCCGTCTGCTGGAACGTTTCGGACCGAACTACCAGTCTTCAGCTGCTTTTACCACTCGACCAACGTGTTTCTTTGTATCTGCTCTCGCACTGTTGCAAGAAGTAGCATAATTATAATCTTTAGGTCTCTGTAGCCACGCCAAGGCAATTTTACGTAACATATAAAGCTCAGCAAAAGTGTTATTCTTTCGTTTGGCCTTTTCATGTATGCAGCATAAGCAACTGACACTGACAAATAGTTATTTCTGTTACGTAAACCAGGACTGTTTTTAATCTTGCTTCTGAGGATTTTATAAATAATTTATCGTCTTCAAAATTGTGTTGCTGCCGCAAAATGTCAAGGAATAGGTCCACCTAACTGCGGCTTACCAAAAATACCCATTTTAGGTAAATAAGTGTCTAAAAGTTAAGGTTTACTACCTCTGACAAAGTCACAACTTCGTGACCTTTTCCGAGAAATTCCGTCAATTTACACCTTTGACACCTTACCCATATTTTTTTGAAAAATCAAGGTTAAAAGGTAAATGATTTAAGCCACAAAGGTTGCAGATGACGTTAAGTCAGAGCTGAAAAATATCAGGCCAGACTGATGCCTAATATAGAATAATAATATAATTCTTTTAACAAGTACAGAATTCGATGAATAAATTCTTCTGTACAGAAATCTTTGTTGACCAATATTATTTCTAAGTGTATGTAGGCACAACATACAAAATAAAAGTCATTAACACAGAAAGGATAAAATGTTGTTTTATTACTAATTTAAAACTATACACAAAGTGATATATAAACAAATTTTCACCCTCCCTCACCTATGCTCTTCCACACATCAAGAACCATTCGATCCCACAATTGTATAATTTATTCAATTTTTAAAATAAAATGTTTTTATAATGATTTTTTGAAACATGAAATTATATAGAATGAGTTGAAGTCCAGTGTGTAAGGATGTTCTATATACAAGTGAATGCACACTTTAAATTCCTCTACACGAATTGAAATGTGTAACCACATGTAAAAAATGTGTACTAGATATAGCTTTTCATCTTTTGCACAAAATTTTCATTTGAAGCTATTTCATTATACGAGCTATTCATTAGCATGCAGTAAAGAATGTGGATAAAAAAATTTATATCTGAACAATAATAATGAACATTTATTACAGTTGTATTCTAATTCACATTTCATCAGTGCTTGAATTATCCTTTTTATGAATAGTCTAACACTAAAGTTGCATTCATATTCAGAATGAGAGCCATATAAATAAATTTAATCCAATAATGCAGTAGTGTTTTTTTATATATATTATTATATGGTAGTTTAGAGTATGGTAACACTTCTACAAATATTTTTAGATTGTCACTGAAAGTTTAGTGGACTTTTATATTTGTATCAACCATTCTATGTTTTTCATAGTTCCTTCCAAATTCAAGTATTTGAGCAGTCCTCAGTGATCGAGGTAGACTATATTTGGGCTGAAACATGACGGTCCGCACTCTGCAAATTAAAATATGTTTGCAGTATCTGATTGAAGACAAACTGTCTTTAGATACATCCGAACCGTTCAAGTACACTTGTAATGATTTTGCACAGTGACCATTGTCTCAATAATGAGCACCTGCCCCTGTCAAAGTGTTGGCACCGAATAAAGATTTGGTTTGTCAAAGCAGAAATACGATTCCTCTGAGATGCTCAGCGGTGGCTTGTCATAGTGGAAAATCGATCTATTTCCTCCGATTGTCATAATCTGACAGTAAAAACTCGTTCCGGCTCATTCTCTCGTCTGGTCGTCCTCTCTCGTGATCGCCGTGGCCTATCTCGTGAACCTGGAAGGCAACTGGCCCATTCTCCACTTATCCTAGAAATATGGCCTCCACTAACAGGGCGTCTAGGAGGGCCTTGGAAAAAATAACCATTGCCTCTTGTTGGCCCTACTGTTATGGGATGGTCATGTGCCCGGCACGGCATTTCTCTTCTCATGGCCAAATCATCGATATAGCTTCTCATGCGATCTCGAGGATAGGAACATGATGAGCTCCTCGATCTGGCCTGTTGCCTCTCTGGAGATCGATAACCGTGTATATGAGGTGGATGCACATCTTCGTCTGGCACATATCCAAAATTATCGTGTTCCTCTGGTCTGTGAATATATTCACTGGGATACGCTAATGCAGCTGCTATCTGATGAGTGGGTGGCAAAGATGATCTTTCCCGATCTTCGTGGGGGCATTTCCAACTACCATCACTGCTCTCACCACTGGTTCCAAGGCCAAGATCTTTGTCTCCATTCTCAGCATTCCACATGTCTCCATTTTTGGAACCTTTACTACTGTTCTCGTCGGGCTCACCAGATTTTATCAGAGGAGGCACAAACGGAACACTTCCCGTCGTGCTTACAAGGCGTGGAGATTGGGAAATACCATAAGAAGCAATTTCTGGTACTTCGAGTATTGCAAGAGGTGGTTTCTCTGGAGATTGCATGGGAGAACAAGTGCAGCTTGATTTAAAGCGACGACAGAACGAGCACAACTTCGAATTGAAACATGAATCGGACAAGGATAACAAAACTGGGAGCAATAAAATACCATGCAAAGCACCGAACAGAATTACGAGAAACACTGTTTTGAAGAACGTCAAGAAGATATAAGACGGAGCAAATATTAATGCAATGACACCTAATATAGTAGATACGCTTCCTTGAAAAATTGGAACACCCAGTGAATGAAGAGCAGCTCTGATGCCATCATCTGGAGTTTGCTTGTCAGCAGAAAAATAAGCGTAAGATATATGTGCAGAATAATCTACGGAGAATCCGATACACATTATAAGATTTATCATAGATATAGAATCTAAATTAACACCCCACAAAGTCATGTATCCGATTACACCAACTTCTATTGAGATAATAGAAAATGCAACAAACACAGCACAATGGAAGCTTGGAATAAAAACGAGAGAGATCCCTATCATTACAGCAACAGCAACGCAGATGGACTGTATGGAAGTATCTCTGACTAAAATAAACTGATCGAAATATATAAAATACTGCTGAAAGACGGTTACGGGAAATGGCTGACTGTCTGCAATTTTACGGAGCTCAAGTACCATATCTTTCTCCTTATTTGCATCTACTATATTATAGGCTTGGATAACGTAGCGAGTGCCTATTATTGCTGTCTTGTCTTCATTAAACAGAACATCTTGTATGAACATATGCGATAAAGGATAAGTGAAAAAGACATCAAGAATTTTCAAGAAATCTGTTGGATCTGTCTTGTTGAATGATTGTAATAAAAATGCAGTTCGACTATCAGTCACGAATCTGTTGAAAGCTCTTAACCAGGATTCAGTCAGATCCGGTCCAGACACATAAGGACTGGCTTCAAATTTCTGAAGCATATTTTCTATCTGTTGTTGAACTTTTGGATCGGAGTAATCCAGAGTTGCGTTGACTACTACCTGTATCCTGTAAGCATATTTTCGGAAGTACATATCTTCCCTTTCATAAAAAGTAACGGAATATGAATCACTTCGAGATAACTTGTGGCGTTCCAATCCTTCACGTACTTGCAGACATCCCCAAATTCCGACAGCAAGGTAACACATGAAGCAGACGAGGACCATAACTTTGACCCATTTTCTGCCCAGAAACACTCCCATGTGATCTCTGAAAAATACCATTAAGCTATGCTCCTTATTATCCAATGGGTTGTCCGGATCGTCTTCATTTTTACCTCCAGTACAGAAAGTGCGGTAGCAACATCCCTTGTCCACTGAAATTAAGAGAATATGAGAATATTTAAATAACTACATTGTATATATTTGCAAAAAATAATACAAATATATTTTATAATAATAAATATTATTAACCTTACATGCTGAAAATATAGAAAAATTAAAGTAGCGTAAATCAATTACGGACATGAAGTATAATTAATTAAAGTTTCGAGTTTTCATTTACAGACCATTGTTTTATAGGCTGATTGTCGAGTAAAATAGATTTATATGTATGTATATAAAGCTATTTTACTCGTATAATGATAAAGATAAAAATATGTAAAGCAAACTTCTAATTTTAATGGGTAATAGCCGCTTTTATTCTTCGTTTTAATATGGGCATTTCCACTTTCTGTTCTAAAAATAGTAACTGCTTTTAATGCATTGCTTCAATGATCGAACATAACGCTGCAATATGCATTTTAGCAAGCAACTGAATAAGATTTAAATTGTAACCAAAGCATATTTGAGTTCTCTGCCAAACTGTCTTCTGAATGCGACACACTTTTCTGCTTTCCTTGCTTCCAACTAATATGCGCGGCTCGCTTCTTTCTCTCATCCATTGTCTAAAGATGCGTTAAGTTTCCAAAAATGTTAGGTGCATTTTGTACCCTTGTGAATCAGATTATTTTTGATTTCAAGATTTGCTATATCCCCTGTAATAAAATTATGTGATTCTACGCTACGTTTGCTTGCAGGTTTCATACTTCTACTACGTAACCACTCTTTCCGTACGCCAACTCCATCTACAAACATCGGTTATGATTAAAAGTGTTTGTGTTTTCTCCCACGCATTCCTAAATTATTACTACTACTACACACACACACACGCATATATATATAAGTTTACTGAATGAAAATTTTTTCCATGACTATTATACTCTCCTGGAAAGCGTAAGAAACTTTTTAAATGTAAATACAGTAATAATCAACTACTGTAAAATAGTCCTACTTTAGAAAAAATGCGCTTAAAGCTACTATTTTATGTAATATTTAAGCAACATTTTAAAATGAAACAAAATGGACTATAAATGACTAAAAAAAAGCGCTTAAGCTGCTTATGATGATTGAAAATTTAAAGTTCACGAAATAAAGGTTTTACCATAAAGATTATGCTATCCTGGAAAGTTTAAGAAAGTTTTCAACTGCAAATTTAAATTAAGAAAACAGTTACCAACTGTGTTAAACATTTTGAGCAAAGTATTAAGCATTTTGAACTAGCTAAAGATTGCTTTAAAAATTCGTAATTTTTTTTAATAATTTTTAAAACTTTATGAAAATATGCAAATTAATTATTCATAGTTTAATGCTTGAAATATATTTATCAGGGGCAATTATTTAAAACATTAAACGTGAACAATTTGAAAACAATACACGTTTCGTCCTTCATGACTATTTGAAGGCAAAAACAAAATTTAAAATTAATATGAAAATAATAATATATAAGTAATAATAATTACTATATTACTATTATTAGTAGTATTTTCACTCGAAATTTTATCATGGTTTCTTTTGATGTAAAATCATTATTCGCCAATATTCCAGTGGAAGATGCGCTTAAATATTTAGAAATGAGATATCGAGAATTTCATTCCTTTTGTATTAAAATTGATGAGATAATTTCCCTTACACAACTCTGTCTGAAACAACACATTTTTTTTTCCATAATAAGTATTATAACTAAACTGAGGGATTAGTCACGAGAAGCCCTCTTAGTTTATCATTTCTGATAATTATATGCATTATTATGAATCAAAATTATTTGAAATTTTAAACTTCCTTGCATGGTTCCGATACGTTGACGATTCTTTACCCTGTCTGACAGCAATAAAGATGATTTAAATGAAGTTGTTTCAATAATTAATTCCACTGATCCAGTTATTCATTTCACTTTTGAGCTTAAGACATCCAGTTCTCTTCTGTTCCACGACATCTTAGTCACACGCAACATATCCAACTTCAGTACTACTTTTTACAGTGAACCTTCATCTGTTTGCTTTCCGCCATACTTCAAACCATGTCATTCGACTAAGCAGAATTAGCTTCATTTTATTACTTCTTTTTCTGTGCAGTTCAAGTTTGCTCCTCCAAATCTGTTTTTGATCAAGAACTAAATTAGTTAAAAGCTGTTGATATCGACCAAGCGTTTAAAAAATTCTCATCTCAGCACATCGAAAAGCGCCCTCTCGTTTTAGGAGATTATAAGAATTCTGTTGTCATTCCTTTTTTCCCCCATAGAGTAGCTATAAAATTGTACCTATTTTACAGAAATTCAACTTTCGAATCATTTTCTCTTCTGTCAATAAAATTCGCATTCCCATATTTAAGGACCCCACTTCGGATAGGAAATTCTGCGATAAATACAGAATTCCTTGTTATATTTGTATGCAGTGTGATGTAATTTACATTGGTCAAACCAAGAGAGCCTTGAAATTTTGCGTTAAGGAATATGAAGCACATGTTAAGAAAAACGAAACACATAAATCCTCTGTTTCCCAATATTACTGGTAAAAAAAAAATCACATTTTCTATTTTTTTTGTAGACGAAATTCTTCAGAAAATCCTCTTCCGTTGGTAAGTAAATTCCGTAAATTTTCTAAAGGCGTATAACATTCATAAAAATATTTTCAATTCTAGTTAACGATCTCATTTCAAATCCGTCTTTGCCCTCAGCTTTTAAGGAACTTATTTCATAGTTGTTTTCCTTTTTCATCAATAGAGGGCGCGAGTAGCTGTACTTCCTTCCTCTCATTCTTATCTCCTTATCTTATCTCATCACTAGCTTCTCTTTCGTCATTTACATTTCTGCAGAAGAAGAAGGTTTCAGTTCCTTCGAAACTAGTCTTGTCAAAGTTTAAATATTGCGCTCATTTCTTGTAGCTTTAACTCCTCTAATAAGTATTTAAATAATTTTTACTTCAAAAAAACGGTCGGTCACGTGAAAAAATGGAGCTGAAGTTTTACATAATCTCTGTAAAGAATCGTGTTCTTTCCCTTTTCCCATTAATTGCAGTTTTTATTTTTTAAGTCATCCCCCCCCCTGTCCTTTTCTTTCTAGACTTACCTAACCCCGAAAGATTAAAAAAATTTTTTTTTTCAAATTATTTACTTTAATCGCATTATTTGTAGAAAGATTAGGAGCACAATTCATGAAATTTAATTTCATTTTCCTTCCTTTTATTTTATGTATCTTTGTATCAATATACGTAATCACTATATCACTATATACAATTTTATTTCAGTTTTTACATAAATCTTGTGCAAATTTTTTAAATAAGCATTTAAAAAGTTAGAAGCGCAACGATATAAATAATATACTTTAAAAATATTTATTAACATATACTTTAAAAATATTTATTAACATATACTTTAAAAATATTTATTAATGAAATAAAAATTCATATTCAAATCGTTCTGTCAACTAGAGTGATCATTTCTACATGAAAACTTTTCTAGGATATGTTGCATTATACATAATTCCTACGTTTTACTTATGTAAATAGTCTGGATTACGAAGTTATTGAAAGCGCACAGAAACATTTTTATTCACGCCCAACTTAATATATAAGTCATAGTGTCGCAGCGGTTAAAATTAATTAGATGAATCAACTTTTAGATCTTCATAGCAAAAAATAATAAAAAGGATCATTACGTATAATGCACTATTTTAATATTTTAGTTATACTTCTCAGAAATGCCGAAAACATTGAAAACCGCATTAGGCAAATTGCTTTCAGAGACAAAGGCATGAAATATTAACAGAATCATTTATTTACTGCTGCTGTTGTTTGTACTTCTTCTTTAGGTAAAAAATATAAAGCCTGTTCAGTTTTATATACAGAAATAGAAAAAAATCACTCATAAAAAATAACTAGAAAACTGCCATGATAAAATGTAGCAAATTTACCAAGCAGCCGTAAAAATTTCGTTATATTATTTTTTCAGCTGTAAAAATTGTTCTTAAATGCAATAAATTTGGGCTTTATTCCTCAGAAACATTTAGCTTTTAACTTTGCCCCTAATTAATGATTCAGATTTATAGTACAATCGAAGAACCTGAAGGGAAGATTCAAAGGATTTCACAGTTACTATACTTTTATTTTCTTCTAATAATTTTCTACTTGTGATTTCATATACATATTTCGCCTCGTAAGGTTTATTTGTTCTAATCTTGTACATGTTATGAATATAATTTTCTTACGGTAAAATTTTCAAAAATGACTCAGCGTGGTTTCGCAAATGACCGAATAAAGGTTTGAAGAAATTCATGTAGATTTTACGGTAATTGCTCAAGAGAAACACACGTTAGTGATTCAGAAGATGATAGTTCATATGATTCAAATGTGAGTGAATTAGAAAATTGTGAAACAGTTGCTTTCACAGAAAAATGGATAGAAAATAATATCTTACGAAAATTAGTAGATTTTACGCGTGCGTCTGGCGTAACTATCAAATGTAATAACACACAAAATGTTAGTAAATTAACACAATTTTCGGTAATGATTTTTCCTGTTTCTACTTTTCTCATATACAGTTGTCCACAAAATTAAAAAAACGTATAAAAAGTATACCAAGATTTTTAAAATGGAATGATATAACCTATAGGGACAATAAAAACGTTCCTTCGAGCAACAGTTTTGATGGGATAAATACAGAAGTCACACTAGAAAGAATGCTGGTCATTTGACCCCTTGACCAATTGATCTCTGGTCCTTTCAAAGAATATTACGAAAAGATTTTAAAAAAATAACAGCTTTTCTTCAGTTCACTTCCTGTTGACAGAAATCCAGAAGTTAAACCTATTTTGGATAATTTCCTACCAACATTTCAATCAATCTGTATATCACAGTAACAATTGATGAGGCATGTAGAAGTTTCAAATACCTATATTTTGTTAAAAAAAAGTTGAGCTTTATTTATACTTGATTTATATGAAAAATAGCCAACTATAGGCGTGGGTCTGTATAGAAATTCGCGGTCAACAATGTGTTAGGTA